TTTTCCTCTCCACTGTCGCTTCATGCTTGCTCATCATGGACCGGTTCTCTCAACCTGTGTTCCAACTGGACTTCCATCTCCCAGGTCCCTGATTGAAACTCTGGTATCAGCTCACGCAGTCCACTGGATCTCCCCGTAAAGCTCAGCAGACCGGCTCGCTAACCAGCAGTCCACAGACTGACCAACTTCACCTATCTCCACTCCACCACCAGTTTCAGGCCTGGGGGGAAACAGCCCTTTTCTTTGCTCCTGTTCATGCATATATATCAAAATTCAGCGCTATGTTTCCTCCCTAGGTCTGAACGCTAAAGACAAAGTAATTGTATCAATAAATTTCTCCTAATTGTCTTTTATCTTCGTGTGAGTTTTTCAGATTGAAATATACAATGGCTTTGTTTGAAAATGTAAACAGTAAACCAGCATATATTATACAGGAAGGACAATAAGTATTTGACCACCCAGCTATTTTGCAAGTTCTCCCACTTAGAAATCATGGAGGGGTCTGTCAGCCGTACAGGCATGTCCAACACAATCTAAAAAAAAAATAAAACAAATCCAGAAATCACAATGTGTGATTTTTGTAACTGTTTATTTGTATGATGCGGCTGCAAATAAGTATTTGAACACCTGAGAAAATCAATATTTATATTTGGTACAGGGTTGTAAAGAATTAAGTCATGTTACTTTGACTTTTGGTTAATTTCTGAGGCCATAGTTCATGTTCTCGTTCCTGAAAGCCAGTGGTGAGACGTTCTTAGTATTTTGTAGAGTTCCTGATCATGTCGAGTTTTAGCGTACCGCAGTTTTTCTGTTATCCTGAACTGTTCTGCCTCTCAACCACTGAGCCTGCGTGTGCCCATCTGAACATTCTGCCTGAACTCTTTGTGGACTCCTGGAACCTTGAACAAGCTTTTTTTCTGTTCTGATCGGAACCCTGTACAGGGCTACGGATTCCTCGATCTCTGAGCCTTTCTGTTCTGAACTGTTTCCCTGACCTGGCTTGGATTCATTCTTGTTCACTGGGGCTGCAGCACTCTGGGCGGCTCCCGCCGGATCTCGTTGGAAGGATCCTACCTCACTCTTAGGAGTTGGACTGAATTGTTAAACCGTGTAAGTGGCTCACATGATTAATCATCTTCCGTCAGATTATAATGGACACTTACCTCTGTTTCTCTCCAACCAGAGTTGCTGGTGCCCCGCCTCCACTCGCAGTCGCTGTAGATCCACAGTACCGCGTCCTGATTTTAATAAATGCTTTGAATCTTCCCACCATCTGTCTCACCTTGAATACTGGGTCCTACTTTCTGAGCATATTACATTCCTAGCTTTAATCCAGCAGACTACCTTGTTGGGTCCCTGAGCAGAACGCTTAGCTCTAGATTATCTCCTAGGTGCTGAACAGGAGCAGCTTGCTGCTTCGTAATGGATGAGTTAGATGCAGAGGACACATGACATGTATAAAGTTGCAATGACAGAAAGATTATTCTATATATCTCTTGGAGAGCTCACAGATGCATCGAACCTTTTCCAGGTGGTGTATCCATCCGACACAGAAACTACAGCAAACTATATCAAAATAATTTTGGATATCATTATAACAAAAATGTGATATATTGAGCAGCTTATACCTGCTTGATGCAATTTGTCAAAAATATGTATTTGAAAAATACATTATGAAAAAAAAATAGATCTGAAAACTGCTACATCACTATTCTTTTTAAGAAAGTGTAAACCATGTATCTGCTTAACTCTTATTACACTAAAAGCAGTTGCAGACAGCAGATACACAGACTTGAGTCTATTCAAGAGGTCAAAAAGGGATTTCAAACTGAAAAAACACCAGAATTACACTGTACTGAAAGCAGAAAAGCTAGCAGGATACTTCTTAGATTATTGCTCAACGGTTCATGTGCTCAAACCTTGTGATATACGGGAATAATCTGATGGGAGAGAAAAGATGATGTAAGATGCAGGCTTTCTCTTGACTTGCAGAAAGTATTTTATTAGGAGTTTTCTAAAAACAAGAACATCTTAATCAGAAGGTTAATAAAAGTGCTGGACACAATAGAATAAGTCTCATTCTGCTGGGAGGTTTTAAGGCACTAATTTGAAATAAATGTTTCCCTTTGCTCTAATACAAATGATCAACTTTGAACGGCACTGATGTGACACAATAGGAAATTGTGCAGCTAACTATCTGCAGACCAAGTCACATGAAATGAACTAACCACCACCGGGTCAACAAGCTACATTCCTCTGGCCTGAGTGGTGACCACGGCGGTGCGAGTCGGATGGCGCTCTCTGATCTTCACTTCTCTATTCATCTGGCACCAAGCACAGGTGTAGCAACACATTACATTACAGCAGTCACCGCAGCATGAGCCCTGCAGATGAAAACAAAAAGAATGGAATAATACAATTAGCAGAGATCTACGTCAAATGCTTTTCAACTATATTCTGATTTATTTAGATGCACCTAGATCATGTAAATACTTGAATCAATTTCTATAGTTTTATTACTTGTTTGTCACATAGGCTGCATTTGTGATTGTTTTATATCCAAATACTTGCCTCTTTGTTTTTTCTTGATCATTTTTATTATTTTTTGTCAAAACCTTTTTCCATAGTTTTTTTGCCCCATTTCGTTTTCATCTCATTGGGGTTTTTTTTTTTCTGCCACTTTTTAAATAACCAGGCAACTGTATGTACAGAGGGGGGAAAAGGTATTAAGTAGTAAAAACTAACAAAAAGTAAAAGTATTTAGCTACTGATGCGTAACTCTTCTGGATCATCCATATGGTTTCTAGTGAACTTGAGACAGGCCTGAACATGCAGTGCCTTAAGCAGAGGGATTTGCCTGGTACTGCAGGATATGAGTCCCTACTACTTTCATTTCATTCCAATTGTTCCCACAGTTTATTTATTTCCAACAACCTCCTTGGCTACTGTAGATTCACCTCCCAGCCTGTGACAGGTCTATAATTTTCTTCCTGGGGTCCTTTGAGGGCTCTTTGTGGTTGACAATAGTTGTAGTTTGTAGTGTGTTAGCTTGAGGCTGTGACTGGTGTTTTTTTTTTATACAGATAAGTTCAAACAGGTTTCATAATATAATCAAATAGAATAAAATCTATAGTTATGGGTCATCTTGATCTGAATTAGATTTTTCTAAATGAAAATCTGAGAGAATTAGATTTTTCCTTTCCTCCATATTCTTATGGACACACATGTATATCAATTAAACCTTTTGAACAATGAAATCAGCGATTTTCATCCCTTAAAGTGATACAATAAATATTACACTACAGATTACTAAATCTATTGGATATAGTTTGGAATATGCAACTAAAATACATTAAAGCTATGAATTTAACGGAAATGGTAGATTTTTCTAATACTTAATTCTCGAGGATTTGACTCAAATTTGTAGCCTGGGTGCCATTCCGAACTTAGTCCCGCCCACAAAGTTTGAGGTCGGGAAGTTCGGTCTGGCTCTGCTCCATAGTAGCGCGAGTATTATCGCCCACTGTCAGGCGATCATAGGCGGATCTACTGGGGTGGCAATGACAGCCTTGCCACCCCAGCTGCCACCCCAGTTGGCGGTAGGGGTGGCGAGGCTTATAAATTATGGATCATTTGAGAATTACGGCCGCTAATTTCCAATGTCGGACTGCAGTGAATGCAGCACGAGATGACAGAGAGCGACTGAGACTGATTGTTTTGAAAACCGAGTGGGGCAAACCGAGGGAGCCAGGGGTGATGGGGAGAGGAGACACGGGATGAAACAGGTAAAAACTGATTAACTATCT